AGCGGAGGAAACGGACACCCAAGACGTCATGTTCTTGGGGTCAGTAGGTGTACTGGCGGAGGACACTGACGAGGAACCTCTGAACGACACTGGGAGTGAGAACGAGGATGACCTCGTATCCGTGCCTAGCCGAAGATTCAGAGATCCCGTCGCTCGACGAGCAGAAGACTTACTAATTGGGGTGAAGTACCCCGGTGATAACCTTGGAGAGCCTAGGCGCTATCAGACAACCTGGAACGACCCAGACCAGTTCCACGTGTACCGGATTGAGCACGGGAAGTACTACATCCGGGATTACCATTACCAAACCTGTGTGGAGGGCATGGAAGTTCACTCCTCCAAGCTTGAGGATCCGGACTACCGGGTGGACAGAGCCTACTGGATGCACCTAGGTAACATCCATCTGAAATTAGTTAAATCCCGGCTAAGACAAAAAGAACGAAGACGCACTGATAAGAGGCCCCCAATGGGAAGGCCTATAGAAGAGCGTTTGGAGTGGTGGCTGCATGAATACGTGGAGCCCGCCACGGAGGACGACACAGAATCGACGGAGAGCCGGTTCTGCTGCACTAGAGTAAGCCAGGATCAGTACGAGGTGAAGGATAACGTACTTGCCTTCACAGCCCGGGTACCCCGGGCCACAGTGTGCGAATGGGAATGGCATCCCGTTCGATGGTACCGGCGGCAGATGCTGCGAGCATCCTTAAAACAGAATAGAGACTCGTTAGAACGAGACGATTCACAATATGAAGGACTTACCCGCCTGTTTGGCGCCGAGGAGCCGGAGGACATCGACAAGAAACTGGGTGACGTCCTGGGCGACCTGTTACAGTGGGAGTGGCTGAACCACACCGGTGGGAAGCTAGACGAACCGTTAGAAGTCAGCTCGAATGGGGTACAGATACCCCGGGGCACTTACCCCGCATTACAACGTAACGCGGCCGTGGCATGGGACTTTCGCCGTGCCATACCAAAGCCGGTCGTTGTTATGGTCCACGTAAATGGACACCCAGCGAGGGCACTGATCGATACGGGCTCCCTGGCCGATTTTATGTCGTTAACGACTGCCGAACAAGTGAAAGCACCACTCACCGTACTCGAGAAGCCGCTGACTATTCAGCTCGCAGTCCAAGGCTCCCGGTCCAAGGTGAATTACGGAACGACTGTTAAATTTCAGTATCAGGGCGCAGACTATAAGAGATATTTTGACGTCATAAACTTACAAAGTTATGACTTGATACTAGGCACGCCGTTCCTATATCAGCATAGTGGTATGGTGGGGTTGAACCCACCAAGACTAATCCTTGGGTCCGAGGACCCGCAAAAGTTGAAGGGCGCGGGGATATCAACGTTAGAATCGCGAGCGGCTGACGTATTCCGCGAACGTGTCGAGCAAGCTCGTGAACACCTGAAAGAGTTAGCTCAACCAGTATGCGCAAAAGCATCAGACACGGACTTACCTCCGCTGAGGGCCATAAACCACACGGTCCCGCTCATAGACGAGGGGAAAGTGTACCCCTGGAGGCCTTCTAGGTGTCCTGAGCCGTTGAGACCCCAGTGGGCTGAAAAGCGAAAGTCTTACCTCGCATCAGGGAGATGGCAGATGACTAGCGCGGGAAACACGGTTCCCATGCTGTTTATAAAGAAGCCTGGTACGGACCGGCTCCGGACGGTTGTAGACCTGAGGGAGCGTAATAAGAATACTCGGAAGCTGACATCACCCCTGCCGGATATGGAGGGCATACTGCGCCGCGTGTCGAGGAAGCCGTACCGATCATTGATGGATGGCCAGGACGCGTACGAGCAGATCCGGGTAGTGCCGGAACACGTGCCGCGAACGGCTATGACGACGCCGGACGGCAACATGGTTAGTCATGTACTGCAGCAGGGGGACTGTAACGCACCTGCTACATATCAGGCGCTGATGAACTACCTCTTTGGGGAGCACATCGGCATCTTTCTTGACGTCTATCTGGATGATATAATAATATACTCTGACACGCTGGATGATCACATTAAGCATGTCAGTATAGTGCTCAAAATATTGAAGCGCGAGAAACTTTACCTGAGTGAAAAGAAGCTGCAATTCTTGTGCCGCGAAATGAAAATCCTGGGGCGCATCATCAGCGACGATGGCATACGCATGGACCCCGCAAAGGTGGACACCGTGTTACACTGGAAGGTGCCGGTGAATAGAGACCTGTGCCGAGGATTTGTGGGATCAGTGGGATATCTCGCGGACGACATATATAAAGTTCGTATACCTTTGGGTGTACTGTCCGCGGTTTGCGGGGACACAGTCCCGTTCCGTTGGACAGAGACGGAACAAAGAGCGTTTGACGATGTCAAACGCTATGTCTCGGCGTGTGCGTCACACAGCCGGGTGCCCTTAAGCTACGCACCGGGACATCCGACCATCTGGATGATGACCGACGCGTGCCCTACTGGCGTTGGTGGGGTCGTGGCCCAGGGGCCGAAGTGGCAGGAGGCCAAGGTGGCCGCGTTTTACTCAGCGAAGTTGAGCGCCGCGCAGCGTAACTATCCGGTACACGAGCAGGAGTTACTGGCTGGTGTTGAGACCATGCTGCGGCACCGGGACATCCTACAAGGAGTGAGTTTTGTGTGGTTGACGGACCACAAAAGTTTGGTGCACTTACTGGACCAGAAGGGACTGTCCGGCCGGCAGGCGCGCTGGATGGAGAAGCTGGGCGAGTTCACCTTCCGGATTGAGTATCTGCCGGGGGAGCACAACATCCTGCCAGATGCGTTGTCTCGAATGTACGATTTTGACGCGCCTGGGACGGTGAGAGCAGCCAGTGAGTATGTGGCTCACGACGAGGACTCACCAGTGCTGGACGCCTCGGACCTGGTGTCTATGCCAGTGTCGGTGGGGGTGGAAGCATATGTAGCACCCCAGCGTAGGAGCGCCAGGATGGCGGCCAAAGCTGTAGCCGAACCTGGGCCTACGACCAGACGATCAATCGGTTCGTTAACAGGGCCTAGGCCAACGACCAGACAACTAATCGCTTCGTCTGCCGGACAAGGGTCAACGACCAGACGATCAACCGGTTCGTCAACAGAACCACTCACCGGGTTGGTCAAACCACCGCGCGGCAAGCAGCCATTGCCCCCTGCGGAGACTGGGAGACCAGAGACGAGCAAGGAGTTCGCCCGTCGGGTACGAGACAGATTCGTCCTGCGTGGTCCCCGAACCCCTGCTGAACGACTGGAGGGGAGGGAGTCAGGACCAAGCAACCTGACAGACGCAAACGCAAACTGACCCAACGGGCGAATCAGAGACAGAACCGGTGGCAGTAATCCCAGTGACTTACCCCAACGAAACTGAACTGCTGAAGCAGTTGCAAGGCCAATATGAGAAGGACGGCCTCATGAGCAAGGTACTGGAGTCCCCCAAGGAGTTCCGAAACTTTGAAGTGAAAGATGGGTTAATCAGACTCAAACTAAAGGACAGAACAGTGCTCTGCTTACCGGACGTGAAGATCGACGGCAGAAGGCTCATCGAGACCGTAATCGATCAGGCACACTCCATATTGGCGCACTTAGGCGCGGATAAGACATTATCGTACTTACGAGAGCACGTATGGTGGAAAACCATGGCGCGAGACGTCCAGACTTACTGCACGTCATGCAGCACCTGCCAAAGGAGTAAGCCCTCGAATCAGCGACCATATGGGATGCTCAACTCCTTGCCGGCACCGTCTCAACCCTGGGAAGTCGTTGGAATAGACTTCCTAGGACCATTACCACCATCCCGGGACCGGGACGGCGAATACGACTCCATAACGGTCATTATAGACCTTTTGACCAGCATGGTGCACTTAGTGCCCAGCCGGACCACCTATACTGCAAAGGAAGTAGCCGAGTTAGTATTCTCCGAAGTGTATAAACACCACGGCTTACCGAAAGCCATCGTAAGTGACCGAGACGTATTGTTCACGTCCGTCTTTTGGGCGCGACTACACGAGTTACTTGGCGTGAAGCTGAAGATGTCCAGCGCCTATCATCCTCAGACGGACGGGGCGACAGAACGAGCTAACCGCACCATCGTTCAGATGCTCCGGTCGATAATCGGACCCGGACAGCACAACTGGGTGTCTAAGTTGTCAGCTATAGAATTCGCCATCAACATGGCACGGTCAGAGTCAACGACACTCTCACCTTTCGTGGCCAACTCTGGCAGGATTCCCCGTGCAATGATCTGGGAAGACCCCGTACCCAAAGAGTACCCGGGTGTACGGGTGTACCTCCAACGAATGAAGGACGCAGCTATGACAGCACACGACGCGCTAATTGGCGCGCGAGTGAAACAGACCCGCGAGGCAAACAAACGCCGGCGCCCTTGTCCATTTGTAAAAGGCGACCTGGTCTATGTGTCAACAAAAAACATATCGTTCCCTAAAGGGACGTCAAGGAAGCTCGTACCTAAGTTCGTCGGGCCTTACAAAATCGTTGAGGACTATGGAAACAATTCGTTCAAGTTAGACCTGCCGGACCGCCTCAAGCAGAGGGGAATTCACCCGGTGTTTCACTCATCCTACCTCAGGGAGCATGTCCCCAACGACGATAGGTTGTTCCCGGGGCGAACAGAGACGCAGATCGCAGACTTTGGAGAGCCGGAGGCCGAATGGGCGATCGATCGAATCTTGTCGCACAAAGGGCGACGAGCGGACGCTGTTTTTGAAATTCAGTGGAAGACAGGAGACAAGACTTGGCTGACTTACGATCAAGTCGAAAAACTTGACGCCTTGGCAGAATATTTTCAGCTGCTGGGGGTCGACAACGTCTCAGAACTTGGAGACGGCGGCGGGGAGCCACCAAAGAATGACCCCCAAGTGTTCCTGGGACACTTATTTTCCGATCAGTTCGTCGACCATATAACACCAGGCGCGAACTCACCGGCCCCCCAATCCAATCCTGTCCCAAACCCTCGCTCCACCAACATTTACGGCCTACCCATCTCTCCACACCTATTCCTGCTCATGGCACCTCTCCTCAAACGCATTGGACCCCGCCGTTACACTATCCCTAGCCCTCTGGGCGCCGGACTCGGCGACAGTGACCTAGTTGTCCTGGTCGATACCGTCCGGCTGTACCTGGAATATGACGGGCACCTTAGGGCGGGGACAGCTAGCCTGAACGCCACGCCGTTCGGCTACAACGACTTTGCGTTGGCCTTCAACATGCAGCCGGCCGCTGAAGCCGACCCGTCACGCTTCGCCATAGAAGGAGCAGAGGGACCCACCATTAGTGGCCCGTCCCCCACTATCACAGAACTCGTCGGGGCAGAAGAACCTGCTGCCACCCCGCCGATCACCGCTCCTGCGCTTACCAGAAGGAGGGCGCTACCTCAACCCTCACAGAGCAGAGCTCATGGAGGAGGCCCTCTGGATGAACCTCGAGACCGCTAAGAAGAAGCGCGAGTGGCGCGACCGGTCCATCGCCGAACGTAAGGCTAAGAGAGCTCGACCCGAGGTTAGCGGACGCCCTGACATGAGGAAGGAGACTCACCCTCATGCCAATGTGGCAAGTGCCTCACGCACCCCCACCACCTCTACCCCGGGGCCCTCCAGTCCCTCCTCCACCGAGCCGGCTAATAGAGAGCACGCCATGGACGTCGAAGAAGGCGAGGAGCGCCGCACGGAGAAGGGCAAGCGGGCAGAGGAGGACGCGTCGAAGAAGACTAAGAGGAAGTAGAAAGGGTGGATCACCCTTGGAGGGGAGTGTGTGGCAGGTTGCCTTGATCGAGGCGTAAGGAACCGTCACGTTTGCGACAAAGGTCTAGACCCACCGTCTAGAACGTTTAGGAAGAATCCGGTTTCAGTATTTTCTAGTCAGAATAATCACGAGCCTTCCTACCTACGAAGTATTTAGTCTCGCTCGTGTTAGATGTATCCTTAGAATTTCTCCCAATTGAACTAGGCTGGTATCTGGTTATCATTGCGAGAGAACGTTCTACTCAACTTGTGCCGTCATCTAAAGTCGTTGCAACGAACTTCTACCTGCCGTCACAGCCACCTCGCTTATTTTGCGCTTAGACTTAATTCTAGGCCTGCCTCGTGCCTCGGCCGGCCTAGCCCGCCAGTTATCTACTCCATCACTTTATTTCCCAATGACCGCCTCCTTGCGAGTACATCTTGGGACGGAACAGCGCGTCTCTGGAATCTTGATACAAACCTCCAAATTGGGCCACCTCTTCAACACAAAAATGACGTCAATTGTGCCCCAAGTTGTGCGGCCTTTTCCGCTGATGGAAAGTTGCTGTCCACTGCAGGTTGGCAGGATGAAATTGCGTGTGTATGGGACATTCAAGCCATTCTCAAAAAAGCTGGCCTAGAAGATCTCTTGTCTATACCTGAGGTGAGTACCAACTTGACCCCCACTCGCAATCTCATTCCAAATGGCTGTTAGGCACAAAAATCTGGACTCAAAAACAAGGTATGTATCATCTTGTGACTTTTCAAGAATGAAACAAGCTAATGTCCCACACGCACAATTACAAGCTATCAGGTGTACGCTGTGTTTTTTCTGACCTTGATATTGATCCTGATGTCGGCGTTCCAGGCCAATGCTACGCGACGTCCACCCATCCGTCCAGCCCCACGTCAAGTGCCACCAGGCTTTTTCGATAACGTGCAATGCGGTGGTCCTGTGAGTTACCACCATTCATTTTCACTGCTTTCTCTGATTTCATATTTTTAGTCCTCCACTACCCACCGTCGAGTCCACCCTGATCCCTGTCTCCGCGATGCTTTTGCACTATCCTGGAGATCACGTCCACGTGCGCTCTTCGTTGGCCTTACACATCGCTTTCGCCGTCCCCAACCAAGCGCCGATGAACCAAACGAACCTCAGCAACATCCACTGGGACCTGGTACCTCCTCTCGTCGCAGACCTCCTGTTGTCGACGTTCCTGCACTAGATGACAAGAAGGTATGTCGTTAGGGGGGATGTGTTATCAATAGCTGGTGTCTCAAGTTTTATCTGCAGGCACTGTATGTTGCTCGGCTGCCGGAACGAGCTAGCGACAAAGCAAAACGCGTCGACAACTCGAAATGGTGGGCTCGTGTTGTGCTGTTCCTCTGCTGTGTGTCTCCGTCCAACGATGACGGTCACTGATGGTTTTTGGGACATGGACGATTAGATATCCTGTTTTTGTTGTATTTCAGCGTTTTTCTGTTACCATCGATGACAATTATTGACGTCTCGCAGTCTAATTTGTCGGCAATTACCACTGACAGAATGGCAGCATTCTGCCAACAACACTAGTACTATGAATTAGATCGCGTTGCACGAGAAACTCCGAGCCAACCCAAACATGATACATATGCGCCTCACTACTAAGCCTCGAAATTATAGTCGGCTCGCTTGTGTTATGGTTAACGTTCATGAATACTAGTAACAAAATATCGACAGTATCGACAAGTCTAATGATCGGCGCCAAGAAGTAGATGTATATATGTACATGATACAGGAAGCCAACTGCGAACATTTACGTATGCTTAATATCAATCGTATCACAACCCCCATTTCCCTTCAGCTTGCAACCCGGATGCCCACACTTGCTCCCAATCTGAATGGAGACAAATATCACAACCACAAAAGAGCACTGGACGATCGGACACCGCAACATGAACGTCGTTCAGGGAAATACAATCTGCGCCGGACAAAACAGCATCATTGTCTAAAGAACCCTCTTCAGTGCCTTTGGACCCTCGTATCAACACGGGCACACGCCGGCCCTTCAGCATCGAACTAGGGAGCGTCAACACTTCCGCGTGTTGCTCCGCTCTCCAGTTATATGCAAACATGTCGAACGGGAGTTGGACTCGGGGGAAAACCAAAGAGACTTTTTCTAACTTCTCGAAAGAATTCCACGGCACGTCCGACATCCACAGAGGCGTACCGTAGTTTTGAGGTCCAATAGCGCGTTTAGTTCGCAAAAGGATGTGTAACAACGCATCATGCTCCTCGGGAGGGAGGGCGATAAAGTGGGTGATGGATGCCAAGAAGGCTGATCCTGAGGCAAGCTTCGCCATTTCCCATGAGTCACTGGTCATCCTGGATAGCGTCAATGTTTTTGTCTTCCACGGAAGCGGCAAACTTCCATTGTCTATGTTTTTGTCCATACGGGTCCATGCACGCTCTATGCAGGATGTCAGGAGGTTCAGACATGAAAAGTAGATTGCGAGCGATGACGCGCCAAGGAGCACTGGAGCGATGAGGTCAAGGTCCGACACAGGCTCAGAGGTGAGGCTGCTGTCCACAGGAGCGTCTGAGGGACACACATCCAAACACGGTCCGATCCAGATGTTGCGTACGTGAGGTGTGTACTCGAAGCGGAGAGCAGGATGTGTCTGAGCGTATTCGTTCTGCATGCGTAGAGCATGCAAGAAAGCTGGCATGTTCTGATAATCCAGTACTACGGTGTGCAACATTATAGGCAGTGCAAAGTGCCTCAAAGTGCGGGAGACAAGACAAAGTTTACGAGCGGTCCTGTATGAATGCGTCGGATGAAAATCCTCGTCTTGAACAAAGGTGGGCTCTGCAGCATATTTGATGATGATGGCGACGATCTCGGCGGGAAGGCCGTTAAATGAAGCTCGGGGGTAATCTCCATGATGGCTGAATGATACAGGAAACTGTCTGAAGGGGCCCTCTTTTAACACCTCGTGAACAATAGCAGAAGAAGTTCCACAGCAGTGGCCCAAGCTGGGTCAAAGTATGTGGACCACAAGCTATGGTGGTCCATGCCACAGTCATTGTTCCATTTAGGTCGCATAATGTGGTCTGGCTCTATGGGAATAATGGTTATTACATGATGCAAATGTGGGATGAGCCATTGAGAGTCTACGTACACGAACTCATGCACCGCATGGCACAACTCTTACATGGTAGTCGATTGCCGAGTTAGACTACTTCAGGGCAAATTCTATTGCTGCTTGATTCATGGGGCAGGTGGGACATGAAGTAGAGTTGGCTTCTGCAAGTAGGAGATTGGCATGATCTAGTCCTGGGACTGAAGAGCCGGTAAATGCTGTATACCTTGAACTTCTGCTGATGTCCATTTGGTACCTAGCAGCGAACAACATCGTCAGTGAAATAGAGCGTGTGATATGTCGTCACGCGCATCGGGTATGGATAGCAGGTCCTCGAGGCTTGATGCTCTGAGGATGGTGGACACTTCACACATATGCATTTTGACGCTACAATGTTTGGTTAGCAGCTTTCCAGAGTCGGAGGAAATTGAAAAGCGACCTCATTTTCGTGTTGATCCAGGGGGGGTGGTCCAACCAGCTGGGAGGTTTGTGCCGAGGTTCCACAGATGCGCTGTGTGATCCCCACGATGCACTTGTAAGAAGGCGGCTGTTTGAAGAGTCAGTGATTTCACAACAGCGGTTTGAAATTGCTCCCACTGCGTGGTATGACAACTTGAAGGAAATAAGCTGACGTCCGTGTCAACTTTGTTAATAGAGATCAGCGTTGCTGATTTTCAATATATAGTCCGTCAGATTTCGTCGCATGCTTGTGATTCAAAATGATGTGCTGGAATTGGGTTTCAAGAATTAATTTTGAGTCTGGATGCGGGCGTGAATTTGACGTCGCGGTCGTGACTCGTGATGTGCCTGTGACGCGGCATGTGTGACGGGGCAACTAGGTACAGATCGTGAAGTTCATATGTCATTCCAAACACTTTGAATCCTCGTTAATGATTAACATATGAGTGTCTACTTGCGTACAGGCTCTAGAGTGTTGTATTCACTTTTTACCAATTCTACGGCCGGTGCTTGTCTTCTGTCGGACTAACCAGTGTGCATCTCAGTGCGTTCGAAGTCCTGTATTGTCCGAGCCGTATTACCTCTAATTCCTTCGTCTAATGTCAGACAGTGTAAAGTGTAATCTCACCACATCAAGCCTTGATCTTCCCTTATCAAGTTCGATCCACCCTCTATGCTCTGTACCACCACGTCAAGCCTCGTTTACGCTGGGTGGCCGCGTCAAGGCTCGTCAATGTCGCATCACATGTGCATCACGCCGCGTCAAAATAGCTACGCCCTTTGGTTACCGTTAAGTCTATGTCCATAATGTATAGACGAGCTCGTGCCTTGATTCTTGAACCGCTTAAGATAAACGACAACGATTGATCATGCACATCATGACTAGCGATGATGCTGAATGAACTTACATCTTCCAATCCATACCGTCAATGTTTGAGTACTGCTGCACCAGTATTCGCATAAATAGAACAACTGCGAGGTTTCCTTGCAACGGGGTGCCTTTGACCTGATCAAGCTGCCTTCTGAATTGATAACGGCCCGTGCTTCCAAACGCATGTTCATTATTTATTTAAATATAATCCTCATTGCAGGCAGGCAGCAAGTGCATGTCCCCACTCACCACGATCCTCGTTCCATTTGTACCAAGAAATCTCTTAACACACACACTCTCTCTCATCTATCCTTTCGAATACTTTCTCGATGGATGAAAACATCCATCCTCAGAAGACGCGCTGGGGGTGGCTGAAGCCAAGTCGTTCAGACCCTCATTTAGTACAGGAGAGAGGCAGGAGGGCAGCCAGTCAAGATGTATGAACTTTTATTTTCAGAACTGTGAATTGTTTCTAATGATTAACAGCCGTCCTCTCTCCCGGCTTCAAGGCATGCGTCTCGTGGACGACCCCAAGGGTCAATTTGCAAGCTCTTTGGCCAGGTGACTAAGCGCTTTGCTCGAAGCGCTCGACAACCTTCCAACCCTGAACCCACGGCTGCAAGTTCCAGCCCACAGGATGTCCAACTCGTTCAGTCAAGCAATGTGTGTGCAATCACTCTGATTGTGCCCCGTGTACCATGATTGCTGCTAATCACTTCTGCAGGATCTCACCGCTCCTATAATCGAACCGAATCCTGAACCGTCTTCCAATTCGGGGATTGCAGGAGTAAGTTCAACCGAAATAGTTCGCGATATTTTGATCTATCTTTTTCGATGATATGCTGACGTTCATAATCAGGGCGAACATCTCGACCCCAAATTTGTGAACGAAAGAATCGTCAATGCCACCAAAGATTTCGTAGATATCGGCCAGGTCCCAACAGTTGCTCAAGATACTTCTTCAGTGACCAATAACCTACAAACTGTTTCTGATACAATCGACACATTCTCTTCGTTTCTTGAACCCTTGAAGTTGTTCAACTCCATTGCCAACTCCATTGCAAATGTACAGTTATTTCTCTCTCTCTCTCTCTCTCTCTCTGTATGTAACTGACATTCATACGCAGGTCCATCCCTACGCAAAGGTAGCACTGAGTATCTTCACTTGCGCATCCAAGGTAGGCTTCTTTCTCAACCATCGTCGTTGCAGGTTGACGACGTTTCGGTTACAGATGATTCTCGATCAGGCAGACCGTGATGTCGCTGTTTCCAGTCTACTCTCAAAGATTTCTGAAGTCTATACTTTGATCACGGAAGAGGAGGAATTGGCCAAAATTCAATCGATGCTAGCGATATATGGGAAGATAGCGCAGCAGACACTGGAGTGCGCAGATTTTATTAGCCATTACTCTGAGACGAAGAGCGCCTGTGAGTTGATCCCACTACCTCGTCCCCTGGGACTCAACGTTATTTGTTTGTACAGGGATAAGATTGGGCAAGCACGTTTTCGACGAAACGGACGCAACGATTCAGAGCTACAATAAAGTTCTCGACAGTCTCATGCAGCAATTCCGAGATCGTGCGGCTCGTGACACCGTTGTAATCGTCCACCATATGGGTGAGAGATGCTTTCGGGCCTCTTTGAGCCTTATCTGACATTCTATGATCCCTGGCATAGCTGAGAGTCTGGACCTCGTAGGCATGGAGTATGCAACGGGCGCTGGATTGAATACGTCTAAATGCTGTTTGCCAAATACTCGGCAAGACCTTCTGAAGGACATTCAGAATTGGATCAGCAGCACCAAGGAGGGCGCTCCACGCGTCTTATGGTTGTCTGGCACAGCAGGCAAGGGTAAATCGGCTGTTGCACATACAATAGCCAACTGGCATATCGAAAACGGTGGTCTTGGCTCATGTTTTTGCTTCGATCGTACTCGGCAAGCGGATCGCTGTCAGGACAAAATATTCACGACCATTGCAAGGGAATTGGCGGACTGCAATCCTATCGTACGACGAGCCTTGGCGCAAGCAGTTCGTGATCATGACGGACTCAAGCGCACTCCAGACATAACAAAACAGTGGCAGGAACTCATCGTCGGACCGACAAGCATAGCCTCGAAAACCATTGCTGCACCCGTGCTGATAGTCATTGATGCGTTGGACGAGAGCGGTGAAGCTAATTCTCGGGAACAGATTCTTCGTCTACTCGCTGGAAAAGTGAACACTTCCACCTTACAACCATCCGAACTCCCAGCCAACTTTCGCATTCTCCTCACGTCTCGTTCACTAGAAGATATTCACAACACTCTGCACGCCGCGCCACATGTTTGTCATGTTTCACTGGATTGCGTCTCGTCTACATCCACAGAACTCGATATTCAGCTTTATATCTCCCACAAGCTGGAAGACCTGCATCACGTCTTCAACGATGCACACTTCAAGGCGCTTGCTCTCAAATCTGACGGCCTGTTTGAATGGGCTCGCCTTACCTGCGAGTATATCAAGGGTACTAACAGAGTAGGCATGGATCCAAAGGGTCGTTTCAATGCTGTGATTGCTGGAGTATCTGCAAAAGGAACACGTCTATTGGATGATATGTATCAACGCGTTTTAGCAGACATCATGCCAGAGAACGAGCGCGAGGAAGGTATTCCCATATTCCGCTCTGTAATGGGGCAATTACTTGTATCGTTGGAACCGCTTTCCTTACCTGCATTGAGCACCATGCGACTTCATTTTCCCCAAGGGACTTGCGATTACAAAATGGACCGGGTAGTTGGGCCACTGGGGTCGCTTTTGACCAGCACCTCGGATTCCCACACTCCCATACGTCCCCTCCATGCATCCTTCTACGACTTCCTCACAGACAAATCGCGGAGCCATGACTTCTTCGTTGATACATTATCGGTACAGACCGACCTTGCATTTGCCTCGCTTGGAGTCATGGAACGTGGGCTTCGCTTCAACATCTGCTCCTTAGAGAGTTCGTACTTGCCCAACTCTTCCGTCCCTGATTTAGAGAAACGAGTCAAAGAATCCATTCCGGCTGAGCTATCATACTCATGTCGATTTTTTGGGACTCATGTCAGCTCGGCGACCTTCGAATTGTCGCTTGCTAAGGAAGTTGAAGCTTTCTTCGACGGAGAGCGCCTGCTCTGGTGGTTGGAAGCACTGGCTCTGATGAAAAGCCTCGGCAGCTCAGCAGTGACCCTCCCATCCATTGCAAATTGGTTTTCAGTACGTAGCTCGAGCCCATTCTTTTCCCAATGAATTCTTACGAGTATTGGGATGGTTGTAGGGTCATGCCAGGTTCACGCATGTTAGTGGTGCTACCTAGGGACACCTTGCGTTTCGTCCGAACTTTCGCAACTACTATTTTACGCAGCACTCCCCATTTGTACTTGTCCGCTCTGCCGTTCGCTCCCACTCAGTCAAGAATATTTCGCGA